GCACCTTCTCTGACCTCTTTAGACTGAATACCTGTCCGTGTAGCAGTGCAAAACCTACAAAAATATGCACCTGAAAAATTTTCAACAAAACCAGCTAAAGCATGTGCACCAAGACTGTCAGCAACCACATACTGCACTGTTCCTCTGATGAATGTTTTTAAGTCATTGACAAACAAGCCCTGCTGCTCTAAAGTGATGAGATCGTTCACAAGAGGCTCAAAATTTTTTCTATAGCCATAGGCCTTTACATCATCACTTTTACATAACAGAGCGAGATAAATTGAGGACAACGATGAATTACTCCCTGGTGGCAAGTTCCCTAAAATACTATATATTATATATTATATATATTTTTATTCTTATGGGACTTAAATGTGCCAAACACATGTCTGAAAAGAGCAGTGCTTAAACATACAATGCACTGTCTCACTGATATTTAGGTGGTTATGGATGTGACTAAAATACTCACGTTCTGACCCTATATTGCTGCAAGGACACAAGTGACAATTGAACGTGGTTAGCGTTACACTTGCAGGTAACCCCGTGTTCTCCTTTGCATGGCTATGATTTAGATGGCTGTGTAGCGCATTCCATGTTTTAAATCTACAGGGACTCTCAGAATAAGTGCATGGAAAATGAATACCGCGACCATAATGTCTATGCACTAATCAATAGTGTTTCAACTGTGATCTAGTTGTGACTATTATTTTGCAGTCCTTGCACTGCCACATAATTGCGTTGAGAAACAGGAGTGAGTATAACAGGTTAAAAAACGCTAAAACTCAAAGGACTGCGAAATAACTTGATAACATAAATTAACATAATTCTGTGAACATTAACATCACTTATCCTGGTGACATTAACCAGTAAAGCGTTATGAAATACTTATACCTGGCAAAGCCACTATCTTCTCCTCAATGTGCTTCGCGCTCTCGTGTTTGTGTCTTCCATTCAGTTCCGTTGCTCCGCCTCCAGGTAAGCAGCTACGGTATCCGCAAATGTCCAAACTTAGGAGGGTTTCGCGTTTTACTCCACAATGTTAAGTTGGCCAGGCAAACCTTTATTAAGTAAAGCCTTCAGAACTATATTTTTGTAGAAGTAACATAGTTAACTTGTGTTAATTTATTTACCTTTATTTTTTATGTAATGTGAACAAGGATGGGTAGAGTAAAATTAACAATAGGGAAAGTTCATTTTTTTGAGTGCAGAGGTTCCCTTTCAGATGGGAAACTTCAATGTTATAGGTGGATTTAATCCATGCATGGGGGATTTCGTTCAGAAATCCAATCGTCTGAAAGAGTATATAAACAGGCCAATGAATGGTAAATGAATTGGCAGCGTCAGCTTGCGCACCTGATGCATTGCAATCAATTTAGCATAAAAGCACAGCGAAAGCAAGAAGATGCAACTTTTTTTCTTCAGAGACAGCCTTCTGAGAAAGTCGATGAGGGTTCCTACTGCTGATATCCAGCATTTTCGAGCGAACAAGAGCTGTCTCCAGGTCCTACGCCCTGAAGTGGAGTCTATTCACTGAATGGTGCATCTATTGCAGAAAAGACCTCAGAAATTGCCAGATCAGCGTTGTGCTTTCTTTCCTTCAAGAGAAGCTTGAGAGTAGGCTGTTGCCCTCCACACTCAAGGTTACGTGGCTGCCATCTTCGCTCATCATGACAGTGGCTGGCAGCACCATAGGAAGGCATAACCTCCTTATCTGGTTCCTCAGAGGCGCTAGGCGAATTAATCCATCCCGCCCTCCTCTCATGCACTCTTGGGATCTCGCCCTCATTCTCACGAGCCTGCGTCAGATTCCTTCGAACCTTGACTCAGGCCCCGTTTACACTAGTACGTTTTAGTTTTAAAACGGCGTTTTAGAATGAAAACGATCCGCGTCCACACTCGCGTTTTACCCAGCGTTTCTGAACTGCTCTCCGTCCACACCAAAACGCTGAAAACGCACATCACGTGACCACACAGACGCTCTCGGGCAAGCGCTGCAGCCCATGTACCCAGATGAGAGCTCTGCTAGTCGGACTTCTCATCAAGCATCTCCCGCTGGATCTAATCTCACTATATTTATTAAACGGGATATTTCATTCATCTTGTTGTCTTTATCTAACGACATATTCCCTGACTTTGGGCATTGGAATCTATTACTTGTTCTCAGGTAACGTGTTTTGGCTGAGCGCAAAGATAAGTTAATGATTAATGTAACCACGTACATTCTGTATATTGACTGATCGCTTGCCTTTATTTCCTATAATGTATAAACTTATTGTATGTTATACTTTTAAAATGGCCATTATCGATTCTTAAAACTGATACTCAGCAAAAGAGAGGGGATTCGTATTTTCACTGAAATTGAAAGGAGGCAGTTGTTATCGGCTCCGTTTTGTTATAAATATCCAGACAGTGAAGATGACGCTCATCTTATACAGCACGGCGCCTCAACATGTCTGCTGTCTAAGTTGCTAATATTAAAATGAAAATAGGCAGTTCCTTAAATCATGTTTGCATTTTATTGTTGAGAAAGTGAAACAACGAAGCCAGGGTGATGTGAATGAAGTTATAAAGTACACTGTTCCCTTTGAAGATTTACCCGTGTCCTCGGTATAGTCTGCTTTTCCATATCAAACTGAGAAGAAGAGACTGCAGCCTTGATCAAACTTGCGAAGTCTGAACTTACACGGAGAAGATGCAGGACTGAACTGTGCGTGTTAGGCTACTTAATATTCAGGAAAAGCCCCAATCAGAGAGGCGAACGTCTGCAGCCCCGCCTCCGTTTTCAGATGTCTCCGTTTTCCATCATCCACACTGAGACGGAGCAGCAGCGTTTCAAAATGAAAACGGCCTCTCCAGCGTTTTCGAAACGCTCCGTTTTCGGCGCTCGAGAACTCCGGCGTAGTGTGGACGGTTGGCGTAACCGTAGCAAAACTTATGCGTTTTCAAACTAAAACGCACTAGTGTAAACGGGGCCTCAGTATCGTTAAGATTTCTGTCCCTGAAGTCGCGTTGACATCTATTAAGAGGGTCGCAGACTTACAATTCGGGCTGGCTTACTCTCACGTTGTCCTGAGACCCCGCTCGGGATATGTGCCCAAGGTTTCTACCACACCATTTAAAGACCAGGTAGTGAGCCTGCAAGCGCTGCCCACGGAGGAGGTAGACCCAGCCCTTTTCTTACTTTGTCCAGTTTACACTTTGCAAATGTATCTGGACTGCCTCCAGAGCTTTAGATCATCTGAGCAGCTTTTCGTCTGTTATGGTGGTTGGCAGCTGGGAAGTGCCGTATCGAAACAGAGTTTGGCCCACTGGATAGTGGATGCCATCTCCCTCGCTTACCAGAGCCAGGGCGAGCCGGGTCCCCCAGGAGCGGTGTGCACTCCACTTGAAGCTTCGCATCCTCTTGGGCGTGTGCACACTGCGCCTCTCTAACAGACATCTGTAGAGCTGCGGGCTGGGTGACACCTAATACATTTGCAAAGGTTTTACAATCTGCGAGTGGAGCCGGTTTCCTCAAGGGTATTAAGTAACCCTTAGTGATTAAGGAAACAACTCGGTTAAGGTGTTGAAACACACTTGCTGCGTGCTCCCTAACACGGAGATACATGCGCTTATTCACTCTGTCAGTAAAGTTCCCCGCTTTGGTGAGCCCTGCAGATTCCTCCGAGGCCCCCAGCACTGTCTCATATGCTTATTCAGCCACGGTGCAATCCCCCCTCACAGGCGGACTCGTGTTTTTGCTCTCTGCTAACCATCTTATTATTACTCCCCTTTCTCAGCGCTAGTCCATATATTCTGCCATCATTTCTTTCCATTTGGATAGCAGGTGGCCTCTGCAGCATCCTCCCTTTCGGGACAGCATGCTTTCCCAACATACTGTCATATTTAAATTCCTAGAAATTATCTAGACGCTTGCGGCTCCTGAAAAAAATATCTAAATCCATAAATCTTCTATGAAGTGGGATAAGTAAGGACCAGGGATTATGTCGGAAGACTGCGCCTCTTTAAGATGCTATGCTTGGCTATTCTCTTATCGAAGGCGAAGGTAAGGTGCAGTCATTATAGCGTTTTCCAAACATTTCCCCATACGTGGATTAAATCCACTAAAGTAACTCTCTGGGAACGGAAATGCTATATTTCATGCATTAAGTGGATTAAATCCACTTATAACATTTCCGTTCCCTGAGGGTTACTTTAGTAACCAGAGCGTTCTTCTTTTCGTTCGCCATGCGGTATCAAATTTCATTAAACAGCACTCTTCTAGCAGTCCTAACATCATATTCATATCCAATAATTGTCCCGGGGCATGATCAATATGTTGCTGAATGAAAGTGAGCTGCTGAAATGCAGTTCAAGTTGAAAGATTAAAAATGAAACACCCAAAATTGCATGAAATTCTGGAGGAAACGCTGGTGAAACCTTTTTTCTAAAAGCGCTTCCTTGGTCTTGCCCATATTTCTTTGCACGTTAAACACACGCTGGCTAAAAAAAGAAATAAATAAACTGCAACTCCGTTAATTGTGTAAAAAATGTTTATGCATTAAATATTTCAAATTAATCATGTGCGTTAACATGCTAATTTTGACAGCCCTACTATAGTATACATATAAGCTAAGCTTCCCAGTGCTGGGTTGCACCTGGAAGGGCATCCGCTGTGTAAAACATAAGCTGGATAAGTTAGTGGTTCATTCCGCTGTAGCGATCCTTACTGAATAAAGTTTCTAAGCCAAAAGAAAATTAATGATTGAATGAATGTAATTTACATATAGACATCTATGAGTTAAATAGTTAAACAGACAGAAACAAAGCACACAAGAAAATTAAGTTAATCTATGCAATTAAAACATATACATAGCTAATACACATATTTAAAATAAAACTTAAACAACATTGTTGACACATTGACAACATTTACATCAACATGGTACATTAAATACTTCTACAGGCACTGCAGACTGATAAACTGATATGATGCTCATGAAGTCAAATCTGTTTTGCAGATCAGGTCATGATGCCAGACTTATTAATCCAGCAGTTTACCAGCTGAACACTGAAAGAAAATGCATTGATGAGTCTAATAAAAAGGTCAGACAGTGGACATATGGACAAAGAGACAGAAACAAGCAGAATAAAGTCCTTCTGATGGTGGGAGAAACCGGCACTGGGAAAACAACACTCATCAACACCATGATCAATCACTTACTGGGAGTGAAGTTTGAGGATCAAGAGTTTTATCAAATCACTGAAGAAAAACAACAAGAAGATCAATCCCAATCCCAGACCTCTGAGATCACAGTTTATGAGGTGTTTGTGGAAGAAAACCCAACATCTCTGACCATCATCGACACTCCAGGTTATGGAGACACTCGAGGACACGAGAAAGATGCAGAGATTGCAGAATATCTGAGCAGATTATTTGCAGATAAAGATGGGGTTCGGGATATTGACGCAGTGTGTTTTGTGATGAAGGCGTCTCAGAATCGACTCTCTGGAAAAGAGCTTTACATCTTTCACGCAGTTCTGTCTCTGTTTGGTAGAGATATCGAGAACAACATAGTGTTTCTACTCACTCATTCAGATGGAGGACTGCCAACCGATGCTCTCAGTGTCATTTATAAAGCAGAAATACCCTGCAGAAGAGGAGAACCTGTTTACTTCTTATTCAACAACCGACAGAAAGAGGGGAGAGACAAACGTTATGAACAACCTTACAGATCAGGTTGGGAAATGGGGAAGAGCAGCATGGATAAGTTTTTCACAATCCTGGAAGAAAAGAACAAAAAAAGTGTTCAGATGACGTTAGATGTACTGAAGGAGAGAACAAGACTTGATGCTTGTGTCTGTAATCTGAGTGATCAAATTATTGAAAAGGAGACAAAACATAATGAACTGACTCAGATTCAGAAAGCTCTCAGACAAAACAGAGAGAAGATCAAGAACTACGAAAACTTTCAGTTTACAGTCAATAAAGTTACCAAAAAAAAAGTCCCCATTGTGAATGAATGGTGGTGGAACAGCAACGCAACCTGCTGCTCCGTCTGTGAGGAAAACTGCCATGAATGGGGCTGCTCTTGGGTCTCTTCTAATAATCTTTCACTGTGTCTGGTTATGAGTAAAGACCACTGCACTGTGTGTTCAGGAAAGTGTCATTACAGCAAACACGTCAGAGAGAACAAAAAGTATGTGACCAAGCCAGAGAAAGTCACTATGACATTTAATGAGCTTCAACAGCAGTATGAAGACAGTGCCCAAAAGCCTGGAATCAGCTTTGACAAGAAAATATATGAAAATAACAAAAAGGAATATGAAGAAATCATGAAAGAGTTTCAGTGTAAAACAGAGAAAGAAAATAAACTGATCGATGATCTGAAGAAGATAGAAACGAAAAAGTCCAACATTCTGCATGAAGCTTATATCAGCATCATGAGACTCTGTGACATCGCACTAAAAGCAGACAGCGCTTTCACTCTTCAGCATCTGGATTTCCTGATTCCCAGACTGAAGGAGGAAGAGGGGAAAGAGGAATGGGTGAAGAAGCTGGAGGAGCTGAGGAAAACTGGAGAAGAGCCGAAAAACAAAGAAGCTTTACGTCATCTGATGAATACTCGATTGCAAAAATGAAACCAGTTTGTCTTTCATGCAAGTGATAAAAATGAATGGACAGGATGACAAAAGATGACAAATAAGAGCAGATGATGATCCATCAGAGAAATACTAAATTATAAAACCATTATACTTATTACAAGAGTAAAATATATCCATAATGCTTGTTTAATAACAGCATTCCGTTTAGACAAATTACTTAATTTTATATATTGCTATATCTTATATTATACAGATTCAATGAGAAACTGCAAAGTTGGTTGAGTTTACTAACAGATTTACTTAAAAAAGTATAATAATGAAAATATTTTATCCTCCTTTTTGGCTCAAAATCTGAAGAGTCAATTTTATATAGATTTTTTGGGGGGGAACTGAAATGCAAATGTCAATGATAACAGAACATATCATAATGATCTCTTAATAATTATAAAATAATCACTATAATATATATATATATATATATATATATATATATATATATATATATATATATATATATATATATATATATATATATATATATATATATATTAAAAGCCAAATGTAAGGATTGGAACATATAAATCACAGTAAATATTTGAATGTAGAAACTTTAAAAGGCCAAATCATTCAAGTTTCCTTCATCTTTTTCTCCAAGGTCTAGTGAATTC